AGTATCAGAAAATAATGTATGCGATTGAAATTCAGCAGCAGAAGCAATCCTATAATTCCTATAACACACAGTACCAACATGTGCAACTTCACTGGATGCTGCTTATAATAAATCAGTTCAGAGGCCAGATTGGTGGCCCTTTGGTAAACCAATATTAGGTGAAAGATCCTCATTGAGAGCTCACAATTGAAACATTACCAAAGTATGGTAAAATAAGTAAATTCATCTCAATGGCAACAATCCTTTTCAGGCTGATTTTGGGGCCCTAGAAATCCTTGCAGTCCATACAAAAATATGTGATTTCCATTTTCCCTGTCTTCCCTTCAAAAAATCTGAACAGTTTAGTGACTGCCATAGTTAAAATGAGTTTTTAAAGGAATTAAATCAAGACATGTCAGACAAAAGGCAGTTCTCTCAGGAACTAAAATTAAAGCGAAAAGAATAATTTTCAAAATATTCAAATCCCCCCCTTTTTTTTTTAAAGGAAAATATTGTAGGCTAATCAAGTTTACCATTTGCTGGCATGGATCCTGGTATATTTGGGCCAGGCGCAGAGCGTTTTTTTGGAGCGCTCTGCTGTTGTGAAACATACATTTTGTAATGCAAAGACACACTGAGGCAAATTAAGGTGGTCTAATAAAAGATATCAGATTCACCCAAAGAACCTTGTCTGCCTGTGTCCTTAGACCAACCTGGCTACAACCTACCCCCCTGAGGCAAATATGGCAACTTCAAATTGGGAACTGGTTGAACAGAAGGGGCTTGGGGAAGTCTGCACTTGAAGTACAAGAATGAATCAGTGATTTGGTCTGCACTTGAAGTACAAGAATGAATCAGTGGTGTATATTTTCTAATGCGAAACCAAAATAACATTTGAAAAAAGGAAAATGCAGTGCTTTCATCACCTAGAGTACTTTCATACTAGGACTGTCATCAAACCAATTCTCCAGGGACAAAATTATCTGCATGCTGCAAAATGCAGCAGTAATGCAAATGAAGTTACAAGAGGTTAGGAAATGCACAAGTCCCTATATAGCACCCTATAACTAATAACTCAAGTCCCTATATAGCACCAGATCTTCAGCCTCTGCCAATGGCTTTGACAATCTAACGATGCACAACCTTAATGAGGTCTTTGCCAGACAGTGGAGGATTTCCCCCCACCCCTCCTTTGTTAGTCAATCTTCCAATGGTATAGAGCTATCGTAGCTGCTTTGACACCGCTCCCCTCCACCTCTTTCTGTACATAGCCAGACAACATCATTGCTTCTTGTGACTTGAGCACAAATATCAGACCATTTGACAGGTTTTGTTCCTTAAAGCTCCTGTTTCTGGAGTCTAGTGATTTTGGCAGACTCTCAGATCTCATAATGAAAGGAAGGTTCTGGCATGTGTGGATGCAGTAAAAACCTTGAAAATGCAAACTTAAGGGTCTGAATCAGAAGGGGGCAGGGAGGGGAGAAGAGAGAGAACTTGAAGAATAGCTCTTCTTTAAACCCTGGCAATATTTCAAGACAATGATTTTTGAATGCCCTGGGGTTGGCCAAGCTAGTCTGGTGCATGTGGAGTACAGCTATTTAGCAGGGCATGCTTCACAACAATGCCCAAGGGCTCAGTGTGGAGGCTGTGTGGACTTACGGATCCAGATACTCCCAGGCAGGGGTCCTATCTGTGGATCTCTTCTATTCTGCCATGGTTCTTATACTATCCTCATCCCAAGAGCTATCAGGGTCAGATCTTCAAGACCCCCTAACTCCCTAAACAGCTTTGAGGACAAAGGCTTGAGTGCCTTCTGGTACTACATTAAATAATATATCACATGCAGTTCATTTTTTCTCTTGCCTCCAGGGGGAGAAGTGTGTGTACAGTTAGAGTGCTTTGCTTGGCATGGTTTTTATTGTTAGAAATGTGCACAGTCTGTATATTAGAGAAAGTCAGAATTGGGGCCCAAGTAGATAAGACGGAGAAAGTGTGGGTGGAGAAAAGGGATGCAATGTATGCACAAACTAATGATGGTGACACTTGGCCAACATCTTGTTCCATTATTTTGTTTTTTGGTGGGATATGGTGTAGGAATGGATTTTAAAAAATAATTATACATGTTTTCAATGGATCTGACCCAACACATATTTTATAGGCTATATGGAAGATTGGGATGGACAGGAGGAAAGGGTTAGTTTTTAGGAAAAATAAAGGAAAGGCCAGGGAGATAAGAAAAAAAAAGGACACAATCATATTATTATTGGCAAATTTTCACTTACAGCTATGAACCCTTCCCATCTGTGATTTCAAGTTACATATCGAGTCCGCTACCCCCACGGATGCTATATGGAGGCGGTCGGGAAAATTAGGACAACTTGACCAGCAGTTGGCAGTTAGAAAGTGTGTCCCTTCTATGCAGATGCACATCTTTAGGAGAAAAGTGGCCTCGATTCCCTGTAGCAAAGGTTGATTCATGGCTTGTCTACATTAGGTGGCTGATGCCGACATGGGTACGGAAGCAGAGCCCCCTGGTGGAGGCATGGCAGACACTAGCACGATTTCTCTGCTCAGCTTCACCACCTGAAACCCGGACAAAAGCCTTACCTCAGCATAACTGCGTCCATACTAGTGGTTTTGTCACCAGAGCTATGACAGCCAGAAAGCGTGACCACCCTTTCATACCCTTTTAAGACTGCACAACTGGAGTGCAGACCGGGCCTAAGCTACAGAGTACTAAGGCCACTTTATTTCTGAACGAGGGCATTCACTAAGGTTCAACACTCATTAAATTAAACACATCTGACTTTGTTTTCCTAAGGCCTCAGTGCTTGGCATCCTGCACTTCTAGTCTTCTTGGTTGCTGAGATGCTTGAAAACATAAACCCGGAAAGCTACAGCCCCAGGAGACAACTAACCCCGAAGTGTTTTAAAAAAAAAAAAAGTAATCATTAATCATTTAAAACCAACCTCCCATTTGGTGGGAGTTTGTGTCTTGATTCTTGACTGTTTGAGGCTGGCAGCTGAGCGTAAGGATAGCAAAGAATGACCCTAAATATATTCAAAATGGCATCACATTGAATTTTAGCAAAGTTATGTTTAACAAGTAAAAATGAATCACGTTGCTTTCAGTTAGTTGGAAACAATCCAGCTACTGCTTTATTTCCACCCACCGCCCCCCTCAGTTTACCAATTTCAACTGGAAAATGAGAACTGGAAAAACTGGCGTCTCCAGCCAAGAATCCACTGCCCTGAGGCTCTTTGGAAATCTACCGTGGAGCAGCACTATCTCACTGTTAAAAGAAACAAACTAAATGCATGAATTTGATGTCCTCTAAAAAAAATAATAAAAAGGAAGATATGTAAAACCAGACTTCTGGATGCTATCTGGGCAAAGCAATCCAGTGAATTACGACAGGACTCCTTATAAAGGAGTTATGGGGTGTGCCAACTGAATGAGGTATAGGTTTATTTCTGTTACTGTTTTTAAACATCTCTTCTAACACACAGTAAATTTACACAGCACTTTGTAAACACATTTTCTGCTAAGGAGATCTAGTTGGTACATTGTATTACTGCAGGATTAGGCAAAAGAACAAAGAATCTGGGGAGGAATAAAAATATGTGCAGTAGTAAGAAATACTGCATCAGGGGAAAAAGAAATCAGGTCTCTAGGTCCGGAAAGATTTTTCCAAGTAAAATCCATCAAAAGAAAAAAAAAAGAAACCTTTCTGAACAGAGGTGGTGCAAGGATTTATTTGTTAATGACTTGAAATCAATTTGAAAATGCAAACTTCTCTGCAGAGCTCATGATCACATTTTAAATGAAAGTTTCTGTTAAGCCAGTGATACTGTCAGGCATGATTCAAATTCAGAGTCACAACCGCAGGAACAAAATTGATTGGCTAAAGTAGCAATGTTGTGCTCTTATCTATTTGTACTGAATAATGCATCTCAAATTGCTTCAGACTCTCTCTCTCATAAAAACCCAATCAAACAAACAAAACAAAAAACTAGTATGGCACCGGTTTTTCAGGGACAGCTTAGCTCATTAAGATGAAGTTATTTCCCCTCTGTATTTTCAATTTGTTAAAAAGATTTGGGACAGACCTGACAGTGTCTGCAAAAAGTTGCATGGCTTTTTCAGCATCCTTTAAAAACACCCCCAACAAACTCACAACACTGGAACTCTTCAGCTATGTACATATATATGCACATCTATATTTTGCTTTCAATCAGTTCATCACAACCTACCAGCAGCTGAAACCAATTCATCCTGGATGTACGAATATTAAGAGGGACTCTTTGAGGTCTATTTTAAATACTAGGTTTTGAGAGAAAAAAAAAACAACAGGTCCACCTGGAAAAGGAGCTGAGTGTTCCTAGTAGCCAGCATCTTTAAAGAAAAACGATGGGCACCTTTCTTAAAAATGCTGAAACTCCAGATCAGAATGCTTTAAAAAAAAAAAATCAGGTTTCAAATGCTTCCCCCCACCACTATAAAGTCCCCTGTGCTGCTTGCAACCCAACACTGGAGCGGGATACTAGGAGCCAGAGAGTGCAAATGACTCGTCCGGATTCATTGCCTGATGATTGCATTAAAAAAAAAAAATCTCCTGGCTAATAACAAGAAATGAATTAAACTGTCAGAGAACTGGAGCCGTCATTATCCACCGCAAGTGGAAGCGACTTTAAGGTTTCATGTTTGACCTTGGAAAAGAGATGTGTTTTCTCTTGGAGAGTTTCTTCCCTGATCACCAGTTTTTCCCCGCAAAGTGCACACAAGAGCTGCCTGTTTGGAAAACCACTTTAAAACGAAGCCTGGCACGTGCAAGGATCCCTTAGACAAGGTCAGGGAATCCCAACTAGATGCTGGGAGCACAGCAAAAAAAAAAAAACCCATCCCAAAACTCAAGTTTCCCACGGCACACGTCTATATTGCAATGTTTTATTGAGAGGGAGAGTCACAGATCCGACAGCTGCCTTCGTCGGGAGAGCTGATTGGCTAATGAGCCCTGCGATCCGATATGCAGGGAGCGAGTGGGGCTGCCGGGCACTCGGGGCTGGAGCAGGAGGAGGAGGGAGCAGCTGATTCCTGTTGCACTTGGGGAGGAGGACAGTTGCTCTCCAGGGCTCTTGTTTGCAGGCATTTGACTTTGTGGCGGGTGAGTCTCTGTCTCGGCTTTGGGGTTTGGACAATGATTTGGGGTTTTTTTCTTCTTGTTTTTTAAACTTTCAATATGTTATCTCTGCTTGGAGCTAGCCGCTGGCTGCCTCCCCCCCAGTGCTGCTGCGCGTATGCATCGGTTTAAAATAATTTGAACAAGGCTCTTATTTAAAAAAAATAAACCTGCTTCTCTGGGACACTTGGTGGGGTTTTCTCTCTCTCTCTCTGTCTGCTTTAAGCGAAATCTCCCCGAGTTCAGCGTGTTTCCTGCCAGAAACTCTCCTCTTCCATGCTGGAAAATGGCTCTCCGGCTCTGCCCCCAGCCCTCTCCCCAAAGCACAGCGGCTCTCTTGCACCCTTCAGCGATTACCCCTCTAGAAACCTGGGGGGATCTGCTCCTCTCCTGCCCAAATGCGCCTCCCTGAACTCTGCGCTGAGCAGAGGCAACTTCGCTGGGGAGGGAGGGAGGGAGGGAGCAGCGCCGTGGGATGGGCTCTCTCTTTCTCTCTCTCTAATCGCTGCTTGATTTTTTTTTTTCTTTTTTTTTTTTTTCTTTTTTTGGCCAGAGCTTAAGCACCTCTTTGTGCAAAGAACATGTCAGGGGAAGCTGCTTTCTAGAGCTCCTTCTTCTCTTCTAGGGGGGAGCTTGTCGCCTGGCAGTAAAACAGCCCATTCAAAGTGGTGCTGTGCTATGAAAAGCTTGTCCTCTTCTTCCTCCTCCTCCTCCTCCGCCCCAGCAGCCCCGCCTCGTCCGGGCATATAGCTGTCCCCTTCCTCTTCTCATGATCGGAAACTTTGAAACCGCTGTTCACACCCAAGAAAACTAGCAAATCCGGCTCCAAGTTTGTGTGCTACCAGCGAGATTGCAACACGCAGGCTTGCTCTCTGTCGAAATGCTCCGCTGCTGGCCTCGAAACCAGCCCTGCGGAGGCTGGAGCCGGGTGGGCAGCTGGGCAGTGCTCTGCCTCCCCTCCCTGCTTTCTGCCCCAGCCCCTGCTCCTGCTCCTGCTCCTGCCCTCCCCCGGGGGGGCTGCAGAGACGGGCGAGAAGCTGCGAGCCCCGGTGCAGCTGGCAGCCGTGGGCAGGGCGGGGATGTCTGCTCCGCGGTTTGAGGGAAGGAAGGCGGCTCCTTTGTTTCTGCAGAACAAGCTCTCTGGCAGCATAGCTGGGGCTTGCTGCGACCGGCTCCACTTTTGGCTGCCCCCCCTCCGTCGTTGCAGCCGAGGCTTGGTCCTTAAAATCAAGTCCTGTTGCTCCTTTCAAGGGTGGGAACAGCAGGTTGGTGCAAAAGCCTATGGAGCTGGGCGGGTGCTGCGCCACCCACCACTGAGGCTCCTGTGGATGAATGAGTTTTCTCGCCCTCCTTCTCCTCTTCTCCTCCCATATAGCGGTGACCATGTCTCTCTCCCATGTCCTAAGACTGCCTGTCTTCTTCAGCTGGGTGCTGCAACTAAGCTCAGTGACTGTCCCGCCTGTTGTGCGGGGAAGCTTGAAACGTAGGCACAACTGATTTCCACCCACTTCTTTTACATGTTCAGTAATGCACTGTGTTTACTGCGCACTCAGTTTAGTGCCTGCATTTACAGGTAGTATTAAACTGTATTAACAGGTGCAGTAATGGCACGGTAGTGCTGGCGCACAGGTTTTTTTGTGGGTAACACACAGTAGATTAATTCTGCTGTGTATTGGCACGTCATGGCAAAAGCCATGCTAATGTGCAGTAGAGTTTGTCTACTGCGCATTTAGCATCTCGTGTAGACGCACGCAGTGTGTCGTCTTTAGATGCGCCTGGCTTGTCTGCATCCTCCTCCCAGGTGTTGGGCGCTCCCGGAGTTTGGAGGAAGAGTGGGGAACTGTGTTGCCTTTGGAGGATGGGATTTGGAAAATGCAGAGGGTGGATGGGAAGCTGAATGATCTTGGCCCATTCTGGCTGTTACCTATTGTTGGGATGGATCCAAAGCTCTGAGTTACCCATGCTGTTGGGTCTGGGAGCTCTGTGTGCGGGACCTAGGGAAGCACAGCATCATCCCACTTCTTCAGACTTAGTTTGTTGGCTTGCCTCCTCTGCCCAGTGAAAGCTGTGTTGTGCAGGGCAGCAGTGATCGTATCAGATCTGGGCTCCTTTAGACGGGTGACTACATCTGTAGAGGCTGCCTGGCCTTGCCTTGCCTTCACTGCAGGCCCAAGGAAGAAGCAGCCCTTTGCGGGGTGTACCTGAGGCTTTCTGGAGACTTTGCTTCCTCTTATGAGGTTGGCAGACTGGGAGCTCTTGTTCACAGTTACTACACCCAAGTCTTCACTACCTTGCATTTTATGGTGTTATCAAGCAGC